TGTCCTTTAGTGGAATAATGGTGTGTCTTGACATTTGTTAGTGACATGAAAATCCAGGGACAGACCCTCCTGTGTCTCTTGTTGTGTCCCCTCTGGGCCTCTCCTGGTGGTTTGTTGTAATCCCATTTATGTCCAATGCCAAACAGAACATTTGACATTCTCCCACACGTCCCAGCTGTGAAAATTTAGGCTGCCTGAAGTAGTTTGAAATGAAAGTACCCTTTATCCATGTACAGATTTTACTGATAYTTAAAAACTGTCAAATAAAGTTCAATTCCAGCTTCTTTTTCCAGTGACTTAAAAACCCTCAAGCAAGTCCAAGAGAAATAAACTATTTTTTCTTCTTCATCCTGTAGATCAATAAGATGGAATGGTGGAACAAACTGGTTTCCACAGACCCAGAAATCAACACCAAGAAAATTAATCCAGAGAACTCAAAGGTAAGAATCCTTCTGTTTTATGGGCCAGAGCCTGCTCAGAAATGACCTCACTTGAGCCCAGAGTTGTTCCAATTTGGATTTTGCTTTCAGTTGTCAGACCTGGACAGCGAAACTCGCAGCATGGTGGAGAAGATGATGTATGACCAACGACAGAAATCCATGGGCCTGCCCACCTCTGATGAACAGAAGAAGCAAGATATTTTGAAAAAGTGGGTGCAGCTTGTTCCTTTGCATGGTTTTGCCTTTCCAAGCATTTCTTTTTCTCTCTGGCACAAATCAGTGACCAGAGAGCAGTTTGGCCTTGGGTCCTACCCGTGCTCACATCTGCACAGTCTCTGTGGTGTTGGCCAACCACCAATGTTATCAAAGCCTGTGGGGGTAGAAAGCCTAACGGGAAAATCTGGGAATAGCTCAGCTCTGGAATTGTCTCAATCTGCTGATTGCAAGTCCAGAAGGCACCTTTAGGMCTGGAGGTGCCATCTCTGCTGAACTTTAACTTGGTCTTGATTGGTTCTAATCTGCCTTGGTGGCCCAGCTGATCTCCCCTCCCTCCACTTGCCCCCAGACAGTTGTCCCCAAGCCACTTTTATGGCTTTATTGCCCTGTTTGGTATGAATGCACTGGCAGGGAAATGACTGCTGGAGCTCCCAAGGCCACTTGGGAAGGTGTGGAGGCAATTCTGGCTTCTGGGTCACGCAGCTTCTTCAGCCCCACAYCTTATCTGCAGCTGAAGGATTGGTGTGGCTGAGCTGACTCCTCACTTCCCGTTTATCTCAGTGCCAGAAGCTTCTCTGAAGCTGTGTGGGGTGTGAGCAGAGCAGAGGCCAGGCTTCCCTGCTGCCTGGTGAGCAGGGCAAGGGRCAGCACCCTCTGCTCCTGGGAGTCCACCCTGCTGGCAGGGACACTTGTTCCGTGCTCAAAGTTGGGCTGCAAAAGGTGCAGAGGRAGTTTAGACTTTGTCCAGGGCAAAGGAGACTCTGTGAGAGCTGTGGGTGCTGATCTCTGCCAGCAGAGCTCTCCTGGCTGCAAACAGGGACTGATCCTCACAGCACAGATGGCTCTGGAAGTGTAAAGTGGGAATGCTGTGGGAAAACCCTGAGGTGGGGACACAGAGAGGATCATCCTGCCCTCAYGTGCACTCTGTGTGTGACTCCTCCACAGGGCTGTGATGTTTTGTGTCCCTTGGGAAGAGTCTCTGTGTGCCCCAGGCACTGCTCTCAGAACTTCCTGAGCCCATACAGTCCCTGGAAGGTGCCCCTGCCCATGGCACGGGGTTGGAACAAGATGATCTTTAAGGTCTCTTCCATCCCAAACCATTCTGTGATTCCCTCTGCTGGGACTGCAGGACATTTGAAATCATTTCCATATTCCTCTGGTCATGTCATCCCTGAGTTTTTACTGGGAAAGCTTTGGGAGATTCCCCATATCCCCATATYCCATCCCAATCTGCCCTCCCCATCTCCCCTCTGCCCCACCAGCAGTGTTGTGGCTGCTACGTGTCCATCCCAGAGGGAGCAGTTCAAGGGTGTGTGTTTGATAATTAATAAYTCCCGTGTGTGTGTTTGATAATTAATAACTSCCGTGTGTCTGGACTTGCTGACCTGCTAGTCTGGCAGGAATGCTGCTCCCACTGACCCCAGAAAAGGTGTTTGTAGTGCAGGAAATGTGTCCCAAGGAGCTCAACAGAACCCTCCCTGCTATGGATGATGTGGGGTTGCAGCAAATCTCCACAGTGCAGGAAGCAGAAATCCTTCCCTCCCCAAACAGAGGCTCTGCTGACTCACCCAAACTCTTGTCTTTGTTTTCCTTGCAGGTTCATGGAACAGCATCCAGAAATGGACTTTTCAAAGGCTAAATTCAACTGAGCTCTCCCCTTCTCCCCCCGTTTCAGTCAGCCCATAAATGGGGCAGGATGTGTATGGTTGGATATTCCTCACCTYGGGCAAGTCAAACCTGCAGTGTCCCCCACCCGAGCTTGCTGTGGAGGCAGCTGAGCAGAGTCACCTCAGTGTCCTGGGGAGCAAAAAGCAGGGCCAGAGCAGCCACAGCAGCTCCAGCAGAGCCATCTGCCACAATTCCCAAAGGGCAGAGAGGAGAGAAGGAGGGCTTAGAGCACTAAAGGGTCTTGGGGCTGAGAGRTTTTGGGATAAATCCTGAAGGTATTGCTTCGTTCCCCTGGGCTGCTCAGAGCTCTTCATCCTCTCTTTGCCACTCAGCTACTCCTGAGTTCTACCCCTCCTGCTCTCCTGTGAAAACAAGGGTCAGCTTGTTTGGTAAAATCATTATTTTTCTGCCTCCTTGGGAAGTGCAAACAGCAGTTTAAAATCCCAGCTATTGCAGTAGAGACAGAGCCTGCTTCTCCTTGCTGCTGCTCCTGGTTGTGCCAGAAGTGGGACATCTGGAGCATTCCAGGGAGAGTTTGAGCTGCTGTCCTGGAGCAAGGAGAGGCTGGAGAGGCTGTGGCTGTGGTGGGACAGGGATTGGGGGGCTCTGGGGGTGCTGTTCCTGCTGGGAGGTTCCTGCCTCTTTTCCAGGAGCCTCTCCCCGCTGGCCACGAGCTCCTGCTGACAATGGCATCACTCTGCATGTTCGTATCTTTGTTCAAACTGCAGTGCAACATAAAGGAAAAGCAGTGGAATGTCTGTGGGCAGTGTGGTTTCTGTGGCAGGAGGGATTTGRGGTSTGGGATTTGGGATTTGGGCTGGGAGGGAGAAGGAGGGGCTCTCAGGGTGCTGCCATGGCCGTGCTCTCTGCAGTTCTCTCTGGACACCTCTCACCCTCCCAGCTCTGCCCTGAGGCTCTGTCCCCACCTCAGAACAGACAGTGGGAGCTGAGTGCTGCTCTGGGCCCTGCTGAGCCCCACTCCCAGCCTAARCCCTCAGGCCTGACCCAGGCTGGTKRSTCCAGGCTCTGTTCTCCACGGAGCAGCACAGCAGGAAGCCACCCTTGCCCCAGGTGACAAGGAGAGTGTCAGGAAATCCTGGGCTCTGTCCCAGCTCCCTGCTGCTCTGMTGCTCCCTTCTGCATCCCCCAAACATTTCCACCTCCTCCCCAACGGCTGAAAATCCTGCTTGGGCAAAGTCCGGCCTGGAGCAGCACCTGCCGTGGTGGGGTTGGTTTTTGAGCAGTAGAGCTCTGTTTGCACGAAGTCTCCCATTCTACAGGCTCTTGGGGGCAAAAAGGAGCAGTGACCTGAGGGTGAGCAAGGACCAGACTGGGGCAGCTGCCTCTGGAGTGCTCTGGCCCGGATCTTCTGCCCCATTTGTCTTCCAAATCACCCTACACACCCCTGCATTCACCCTACACACACACTGCCTTCACCCTACACACACCTACATTCACCCTACACACCCCTGCATTCACCCTACACCCGCCTGCATTCACCCTACACACCCCTGCACTCACCCTACACACCCCTGCCTTCACCCTACACACACACTGCCTTCACCCTACACACACTGCATTCACCCTACACACCCCTGCATTCACCCTACACACACTTACATTCACCCTACACACCCCTGCCTGTCCCTGCTGTGGCCCTGATAAAAAAGCAGGATCTGGTTTTGTGAAAAAAGCCAAACTGCTGAATTTGAAGGTTTTAGCCCCGGAATGAGCTGCCTGCCTGTCTGCACTCCCTGTGGGTTGTGGGACTGGTGAGCTGGGAGGGCTGAGCTGCTCTGGGGTGTGAAKGAGCTCCACCTCTCACCATTCTGAGCTCTGCCAGTGCTGGAGGAGCTGGAGCAGCGGGGCCAGGCCCTGCACTGCACAGGATCCCCATCCCTCCTGCCCCTCCTCGGGACAAGCACAGACAGGCACCACCCCAAACCAGCAGAGTCCAGGGCACCACCCCAAACCAGCAGAGTCCAGGGCACCACCCCAAACCAGCAGAGTCCAGGGCACCACCCCAAACCAGCCTGGGCCTTTGTTCTTTCCCCGTTTCCTCCCAGCCCTGTATCCACAGCAGAGCCCTGAGCCTCACCTGGCAGCTCCCTCAGTGCTCCCAAAATCCTGCTGCTCCTCTGTGCTCCACAGGCTCGTGGCTGGTGGGAGCCACAGTGTTTGGGGTRACAAGTGGGAAATCCCAAATTTGCCAGTTCCTGTGGCAGCTGAGAGAAAATGGAGAAAAGGCAGCGTTAGGAACCCCCAGGGGAGCTGGGACAGGGTTTTTGGGGGAAGGAGTGTCATTTTGGGAGATGAAGGCAAAGGCAAACAGCGCTGGGAGAACGGGGCCATCCCTGCTGGCCTGACCCCACAAAAGAGGTCAATGCCCGGGGCTGTGTTTGTGAAGTGATCCCAGAGCTGCCCCTGGACTTCACCCCCTCGGCAGCGGAACAGAAGGTGTTTCAGTGACGGCCTCATCTCTGCAAACACCCCCTGCCACACTGCCCTGGCCAGGGGAATCGGGAGCAGCCTTTGCTTCCCCAGACAAACCCTGCTGGCTCCGAGCTGCTCACGGCTTTGGGAGTGCAAAACCCCCTCAGAGTCCCACAGAGGGTGGCACTGTCCCTGTGCCCGAGGCAGGGCAAGGCTGAGCACAGCAGCAGCGCTGGATCCATCCCCACAGGCACATCCTGGAGCCCCAGCAGAGCACTTGGACAGTGCCAGGTCACCAATGTCCTTTTGCCTTTCCACACCTGCCCTGGCCACCTGCAGAAGCTGTGGCTGTGCTGCCACCAGCAGGAGGGCACAGCCTGGAGCTCCGTCCTCACCTGCCCAGGGACATCCCAACCTCCTGCAAAAGCAAGGCTTGCAGCACAACAGGAAAGTTTTCCCCAGTCCTTTGGGTTTTTTTTTCCTAACAGCAGCTCCTGGCTTAGCTTTTATTAATGAATATTGCAGCTCAGAGCATTTRGGAAATATCCCAGACTGCAGGACTGCTTTGGGAAGAGCGATGGAACAGCAAAACCCCAAGGAGGGAGACAGAAATAGCGAGGATTGGATGTTCCTGTGGAGTTTTAGGAGGAGCCTCAGCTGCTCTGTCACTGCAAGGACCAGGCTGTGAGGAATTGGGGTTCATCCATCTGCTTCCTAATGTCTGAGCCACACTGAAATAAATCATCCAGCACTCAGGGTGTGGATGTGAAGAGGAATTTCTGTAACACTCGTGCACCATTCCCTGCAGAGYCCTGAGCTCCCTTCACTCCATCCCATGGGAGGGATGGCTTGGGCTGGGCAGGACAGGGATCCCTCTGAGGCCACAGAACCCACAAAGCCTGGCAAAACCAAATAAAACAAAGAATGTCTTCAGGAAAAGCTGYGTGCTGAGTCAGGCTCCCAGAAGGAAGAACCTGTGAGAGAGAACAGGTCCAGGTAAAGGCTTTCGTGTTTGTGAGATCTGCACTTGGGCAGAACWCTCAGCACTAATGCTCAGAGCAAAAACCACTCCAGCAAGAGCCAAGACAGCTTAATCCACAGCAAACACAACATTCTGCAGACAAAAACCCCCTGGATTCACTCTGTGGATGTGAGCAAGGAAACCCATGGAATGCAGCAAAAGTGCCTGTCAGGCTCCAGCCAGCAGCTCTGAGRGCTCCAGACATAAAAACATCTCCAGAGACCCTTCCCAGCSCASAGAAGGCAGCATTTAGCTGCTCGTGGCTCTGAAATCCTCCCAGGAAACACATCCTGGTCCTGTGCACCAGAGTGAACCCCCCCAGAGCCCCCAGCCAGCCCTGCAGCCAGGAATGGAGCCCTGCAGGTTATCCTGGGCTCTGCTCTGGAATGGGAAAGGGCAAAACTGTTCCTTCAAGTCACAGGTCAGAAGCTGATCCTGCCCCACCATTGGGAAATGCCACATTTCCTACCTGGAGCTGCTGACATCACAGGGACAGCGTGGAAATTCTGCCCCCRGGCTCAGGTTTTGCAGAGCTCAGTTCCAGATCAGTGCTCAGGGAAGGTCCAGGTTCCCTGCATTTCCCCAGAGGCTCCATTTGCATCCAGACAACAGCCTGACATTCGGGATCCCCTGGAGCTTCCAAATGGATGAGAATATCGACAGYAGGAATCAGCCACACTGTGCAGCCCCACCCCAGGATCCCCAAGCTGATGAAAACAGGAATGTAAAAGTCACAGCACAGGTAAAGAGCACAACTTTTATTTTATAAAAAACACCAAACCAGAACATTTAAGGCCAATGAGTGCAAAAGAATCCCATAAGACACCACAGGTGAACCAGCTTTGGGGACCATCGAGTTGAGAGCTTTCCTCTTAGTGAGGTTTGGGGRTTTGGGGCTTTGCTTGTTCAGTTTAATCTGCACACGCTCACTCTTCATACCCAGACATGAAAAATGTGGATTTGCTCTGGAGCAGAGACTGCAGCTCTTTGCCAGTCCAGCTCAGGCTTTGTCTGCAAAGCACAGCCCCAGAGCTGTGTCAGTGTGACCCAGGGGACACCTGAGTGCTCTGAGGAATTGTCCAAACAACAAAGGACAAACCCACGGAGAAGCAGAAGCAGAAGCCAAGCRGGTCCCTCTCAAAAGGAGGTGACCTCACACAGCTCCCCTGGGAGTCCCAGCCTGGCCTTGCTTCAAGTCCTTTCCTTGTGTAAACTCCATTTCTCAAAAGCCAACAGCTTTAAACACAGAGCAGGGAGGGGAAGCCAAATCCAAGGCTCAACCTCTTCCCTTTATCTTCAAAATATCTCTGTCAGCATCTCCAGGTGTGGTCTCAGTAATGTCCCTGATTTCTGGAAGCACCTCTGAAAAAAAGCCAGTGCTTTACAAAGCCAGGCTCTACCAGGACTGAACTGTCCATTTCAAAGGGGTTTGGCCTTTTAAAGAAGCCCTTGAGAGAAATGAAATCCTTCCCCCCTTTCCCAAACCTCTGAAGAGCAGTCACAGGCTGAAAATAAAGGCACATTTCAATTCAGCTAAAGCGCATTTCAGTTCAATTAARGCACATTTCAGYTCAATTAAGGCACATTTCAGCTCAATTAAGGCACATTTCAATCCAAATAAGGCACATCCCAGTCCAACTGAGGCACAAAACCATGATCCCCACCAAAGCCTGGGACCTGTTTGGGTTTCCCTCTCCCCAAAATCCAGTGGGTGTGTTTATCCTGTGACTGGTAAATTCAACAGAGTGTTTTCTATTCACGTCCAAGGGCACCCAAATGTACAAACAAGTCCCATGGCTTCACGTGTTTACTTTGTGATAAACAACCAAGTGGCAACTGCACAGATGCAGCTTCCTCCTGCTGCAGCCCTCAAGGTCACCTGGCACCGTGCCCTGGGATGGCACTGCCCCATCTCCTGCTGGAAAGGAAAGGAAAGGACCTGCAGTGCCTCACAAACCCTCTGCAGATGCCTTTTCTTTCCAAGGAAACCACTTTTAAAGGATTTTCCAGCAGAACAGTCAAACAGCCCAGGTCTGAAGTACAAAAAGTTAGGAGTGAATCAAGCATTTCCCTCACCTGCCACAATCCTGGTTCCAGGCTCTCCCAGGGCAAACAGAGGGCTTGGCAGAGCTGATGCCCATGGTCTGCTCAGGGGCACAGGGGCAGCTGTGCAGCCATCCCACCCCCACAACTGGCACTGGCTCAGCAAATGAGCCAAGAGACCAAAAATTAAATGAACCCATAAACCTGAACCTTCTCACAAGGCAGCAGGAGATGACACCAAGGGACAGCAGGGAAAGGCAGATCTGGCTACTGAAAACACCATGGGTAGAAGATTTTGGGTGTGTGGGACCAAGCCAGCACTTTAAATAGAGATTGGGGTCCCTTTAAACAGAGATTGGGGTCCCTTTAGAGATTGGGGTCCCTTTAAACAGAGCTTGGGGTCCCCAGGGAGCAGGATGTCAGCCTGCAGCTCAGCACCAGCACCAGCACAGACACCGGGCACTCATCCCCTACCCGAGGTCACTGAGGCAATGCAGGAGCAGGAACTGTCCAACAGATCCCCAAAGCAGGGAAAGGGCTGAGCCACTGAGCTTCTGGAGCTAAATGGGATTTACAGAAACCACAGAGGCACAAATCATCTGCTACTTCCTTGTCCATCTTCTCCTCCCTGGGCACACATTCCACCTCCTGTGTTCATCAGCTCCGCAGTTTGCTTCCTTGATTGTCCATAAAAACCAAAATATCCAGTGAAATACTCAGCAGGAGGAATTTGGCTTCAAAAAGGATCAGGGGAGACTGTGGAGARAACAAGCCCATGGCACAGCACACTCCATATGAAGGAGGAGCACTGTGGCTGCAGCAAAGCCCGGGATGCTCCCTGCTCCCAGGTTTTAACAGTACACCTGGAGCAGAGGGGCCCCCGAAGAGTCAGTCTCTGTGTCCTGGAAAGAGGAATCTCTGCTTGCTGGAGAGCCTGGGGAGGAAAGAGAACAGAGTGCTGTTAGACCAGCAACTGCAGAGGGGAAGGAGCTGCCACAAAAACCTTTGTGTACCATTAGGGAGGAGAAAGGCACACAAAGCCCATGGCAGGAACAGCCCTGCCTGCAGTGCAGCCATCTCCAGGACAGAGCTGCTGTCAGCAGGAGGAAACTTGTGCTGGCTGCTCTTGGGGAGGATCCCAGCCCGTCACTCTTGCCTGCTTCCCTTTTGCACAGTTCCTTTTGTTCCCAGTCTCACCCAGCTGTGACCTCCGGCAGGCACACCCCAAATACAGCCCCAAACTTTGTCAGGCACCTGGAGGCTGAAAGCTCTCAGAGCAGGCCCTGTGCAAGGACAGGGAATGTGCTGCTCYTGGATTTCAGAAAGATCCCCCAGCCCAGGGAGCTGTCCGAGCTCCATCACTCTGCAAACCCAGGAGAACTGAGGGGAATCTGAGGAGCAGGGTCAGCTCAGCCTTTGTGCAGGGTGAGAATACGGACAGGGAGGGTTCAGTGATCCCCCTCACAGCCCCAGCCATGCCAGGTCAGTCATTACCTGCACTGCTGTGCCTCCTCATGTTCCTGGCCAGCACATCTGCCGGCGTCTCCTCCGATATCTGCACGGCCAGTTCTGCAATGAGACAGGAAAGGGTGATGTAAAGGGTGACAGGAAAGGTGACTCAGCAGCAAAGGTCCCTGTCAGGGAGCACCTCAGGRGCTGATCCTTCCCACAGTTTGAGCAGTTTGAGCTGTGTGTCCCTAAATACCAGGAGCAGCCTCTCTGCTGATCTGAAGCACAACACCCACGTGCTTTCCCTGCTGCTTCTGGATGTCTCCGTGCCCTTCACACTCTACAAACTCTGTCACAAACTGTTGTGGAGCTGAGGCACTTGAGGCTGCTCCCACAAGGAGGARGAGGCAGGAGGCACTGGTGGTGTGGAACTGCCCTTCCTCCTGTGTGCTGGGATGTTCGTGGTGTGGAGGAGCTCTGGGCTTTGAGGACACCCTGTCATTGCAGTCTGAGGGTGGCACAGCACAGCAGCACGTGGGAGAGAGCAGCTGAGTGACTGGACATCCCCTGGCACAAGCAGCTTGTCTGGTCCTACCAGTTCAGTTTGACTCACGGATTTTCTGCCTCCCTCAGAGGAGCAAAGGCACAATCAGCAGCAGCAGCAGCAGCAGCACAAACCCTTCCATTGCTCAGCACAAACCTCAGTGCAGGGAAAGGGTGAGAAGCAGAGCTGCCCTCCCACATCCCAGGAGAACAATCCCCTCCTGGGCACAGAGCAGCCTCAGCCCCTCTGCAGTGCCAATCCCGGGGTTTTGACACCCCAACCCTCCCACAGCCCCCAGGGACCCCACACACCGTCCTGGCTGGTGACCACGGTCTCCAGCATGGTCTCGTTGCCGCTGTCGGGCGCGGTGGCCCGGCTGGATTTCTCCTGGTGGCTCTGGCTGGGCTGGATGGAGATGTGGGGCCGGACCCTGCTCTTGCGGGTGCTGATGCGGATGATGCCCCGCACCAGCCTGCACTCAGCATCCTGCTCATCCAGGTTGTAGTCCTGAGTGATGCTGTTGATCAGGTCCGAGATCTTGTTGGTTTTCTCCAGGAAWACGGTGTCTGAGGTGCACTTGGCCAGCTCGTCGATCTGGTGCACGCTGAACAGCTCCGTCAGCTTCTTGAAGATCAGCACGTCGATCTGCCTGCTGGACATGGAGCCGTTGAGCTCGCTGATGTCCACGTCGGACTCGTGGAAGGAATAATACTCCTCCGAGCTGCGGTGGCTGCTGGGGAGTGGTGGCTTTTCCATGCTGTTCCTGAAGGGCTTCTCCAGCAGCTCCTTGCAGCAGGAATCCGATTCCACGTGGTGGTTGGGGCTCCTGTTGGGGTAAACAGGGATGCCCTTCAGCTTCACATCGGGGTAACTGAAGCTGCTGCCCATGCTGGATTTTTTGATGGGGTTGCCGTTCTTCTCGGCAGGAGAGGTGCTGATGGGGCTGTTKGGGAGCCTCCCGTTGTAGTCTCCGTTCTTGCCATCATCCGTGGAGGTCTCGGCAGGCCCCGCATGGGGAATGCACACACTGCAGTCCTGGAAGCAGCCCCCACACGTCACTATACAACAGAAAACAGCCTTGTACGTGTTCCAGGCCTGGGACAGAGAGGAGCAGCAAAAGCTCTGGTTTGGGGGAGCCTCTGCCGTGCCAGAGATGAAGGTGATGCTCTCTGCCTCGCGGCCGTTGGAGTCTTTGAGCTCGGCCTTGCGCCCTTTCCTGTCTCTCATCTGCTGGGCTCTGCTGCGGCTCGCTTTGATCTCGGGTGTGGAGCCACTGAACACCTCCAGGCTGACATCAGTGTCCCTGGCTGCCCGTGTCCGCAGGGGCACGGCCTCCTGGCACGGCTGCTCCGGGGGCGGCCGCGTCCTCCGGCCCAGCATGGCTCGGCTCTCGGGCACCTGCAGGCACAGAGAGCTCCATCAGAGCAATCCACCCATCCCAGGCACACTCAGCCAGCTGGGGCCATCAGCACTGAGCCATCTGACAGCCACACATCCCCAATTCAACATTTCAATCATTTATGGGAATATTTCACATCAGTGGGGCACACAGAGGGGATCCAGCCCACACTCTGGGCTTCTCCCACTACCCAAACTTTGCTGCTTCCTTTGGGGAGATGCTCAAATCAGAAGAGAGATGCTTTTAAAGGACTATTTTCAGACCTCAAAATCCCTGTAAGCTTCAGAAGAGTTCCCTCCATGCAGCTGGAAGAGGAGTCACCTCCAGAGCAATAAAGGAGCAGCACAGTCAGAGGTGGAGCCACTGACAGCCTCCAAAGGGAAAGGATCTTTTTTTAACCAACTTCCTTTTGTCTTGCATTCCTCAGGATTAGGCTGGGCCCTGACAGCGTTTATCCATTTCAAAACACATCGTGCCCAGGAGGAGATGACAAGCAATCCATCACSGTGCAAGCTGCCAATTCCCACTCCACGTTATTTGCTGCTATTCCAATTKAGAGGATTTAGCAATGACAGCATTACCAACACTAATGATTTTTGCCAGTCATGCTAAGGTCAGGTGATGCCAAAGACTTCCCTATGAAAACCTGATGTCTTCATCTGGATTAAGGSAAAGACCTTGTCAACAATTCAGTGTCAAATTGCTGCTCATGGGAACAAAACCTTTACAAACCCTGCTACAGAAATCCCACAGCAAACCAACACAGCTCCTCCAGGTCTGCACGCAGGAGTAAACTATCCCTACAATGCCCACTGTCCCGTTCCATCTCCACAGGACCAACAATCACAGTTTGGCACGTTAAYCCTCCCTATTTTTAATCTTTTTATTATCAAAGCTCAGCACGGGGCGATGTGAGGAAAGTCAGCTCAGGGCTGTCACTCTCCACTTTTACAGCTCTGCCTTTATCCCAGGCTCTGGGGGGCCCCAAAATTCTCCATGGTYTCCAGGCTTCTCAGCTAACACTGCTTTCACCTCCGAGAGATCCTTTTAAATACTAATTAGGGTAATTAATAAGCAGTGAGAGCCCAGCCATAGCTTAAGTGTTTTAGGAATGACCTTGTTGCTTTACTATAGACTTTCTCCAGGACACCTCAAGCATGAATAAACAAATCTGTCTGACCTTGTTAGAGCACTGCCTCTTTTCCCTGTTTTTTGAACCAACAGCCACATTTTCCCCACACAGAAACAGGCCCAGACTGAAAACCAGGCACTTACAGCACACCGCTGCTTTCCAGGAATATTTTGGCTCAGTTGCCATATAAAAATTCATCCCAGGAGCTCCCTTTGCACATTCCTGGGCAATATGCAAAATAAAAAGCCCCAGATGCTCCAATTTCAGTGCTGAGCAGGCAGAGCTCCCTCACCTCAGCATCACTATAGAGATTTGATTGCCTTCACTTCAGAACAAGTTTGGGTTTTTCTTCCCAACTTCATCATTTTTGTAATGCAGTTCAAAATTTAAAAATAGGCTACAAAAACATGAAATGAAACAAAAAGGTTTGAGCTGAACTGAGAGCTGCTCACTGGGATGTTTCTCTTTATCCCAAAACCTCACAGAGATCCAACATCTGCACTGCACAGCAACACTCCTTTATACCACAACAGACAATATTCTGAAATTTCAGAGCATCCTGGACACAGAGCAGCATTATCTCAGCTCTGCAGAGAAAAAGCTGCGGGTTCAGGGGTCAGAGACATCTCTGTGCTCAGCCATTCCCATCACAGCTCCCATTTCTGAGGCAAAGGGAAAGGTTCCCTGGGAGCAGGGACAGGACACAGCTCCTCAGTCCAGCAGCTCCCCCAGCACAGGAGGGGCTGCACTGACCCCTCAGCCATAAATAAAAGCTCAGAGCAAAATCCACATCCCAGAGTTACTCACACAAGGGTTGGGAGCTTCCTCTGCTGCCAGGCAGGAGCTGTGTGTGACTGGAGAAATTCCCTCTGGAGAAGCTCAGCATCTGCTCCAGATCCAGGAGGGTTTGCAGGAGTTAGCCCGGGTCCAGGATCTTCATTGTTCACAGGGAGGGATCTCCTTGGGAAGGTTTATAAAGCCCAGTTAAATGTGAATCTCCTCACAGTCACATCTGTTTGCTGTAAGCAGTGTGGTTATGGAATGTGCCCCAAATTTGGGATTCACACACTGAGAGAGCTTCTCTGAACTCTCTGGAAGCATCCACACCCGTGAAGGGTCCCAAGGAGCCGTGCAGGAGTGAAAACCACCCTAAAGCTGTTCCCARGTGCTCTGCTGGCACTGGGCAGGGCTGGGGATCCTCACCCAGAGGGAATGTGGGTCCAGCACCGTCCCTGAGCATCCCTGCACAGCCAGCACTGTCTGGGATGGAAACAAAGCCTGAGCAAGGAACAGCCTCCACCAAACACTGCCCTGTGCCCCCGATCTGAGCACCCACCCCAATCAGGAACTGCCTCCACCAAACACTGCCCTGTGCCCCCGATCTGAGCACCCACCCCGATCAGGAACAGCCTCCACCAAACACTGCCCTGTGCCCCCAGCCCAAACACCCAGCACAGGGCAGGGAGACAGAGCTGGAGCCTTTCCTGTCCCAAATGAAAGGGAAGGGAAAGGGGAGACCCCCACGGGCACTGAACAGAGCCCCTGTGCCCACCTGGGGCCCCATCGCCTCCAGACAGGGGATTTTTGGGGAGAGGAGAGGCTGGCAGCAGAACAGCCCCATCCCAGCCTGGCCAGGCTCCCACAGCGCTCCCGCTTTGCTTTCGACCCGGTAAAGGGGAGCCAGGGGGAACCGGGGACACCCGAGACCCCCGGGAAAAGCTCCGACTGTCACAAACCCCCGGGAAAGCTCCGACGGACAGCAGCCTTCCCCCGGGCCGGGCGGGGAAGGTCCCGGAGCAGCGGGAAGGGGAAGTGCGGGGACACCGAGGGGACACCGAGGACAGGCGGTGGCGGTGGCGGGGGCCGGGGCGGGGCAGCCGCGGGGATCCCGGGCTGGGGGTGATCCCCGTCCCCTCCTCCCTCCCTCCCTCCCTCTGTGCCGCTCGCGGCTGTCCCGGGCCGGGCGGGGGAGCGCCGGGAGGCAGCGGCGGGGCCGGGCCGGGGTCAGGGCGGGGTTCGGGGATGGGGTCGGTGCCGCTCTCGGTGCCCGTTCCGGTTCCCGTTCCCGTTTCCCGTTCCCGCTCCCGTTCCCGTTCCCCACTCCCCGTTCCGGTTCCCGTTCCCATTCCCATTCCCGGTTTCCGTTCCCATTCCCCATTCCCATTCCCCGTTCCCGTTCCCCGTTCCCATTCCCCGTTCCCATTCCCGGTTCCCGTTCCCGTTCCCGTTCCCATTCCCCGTTCCCGTTCCCGTTCCCATTCCCATTCC